AGAGAGAGAGAGTGAGTATCTGTATGCGAGTCAGTAGCTAAAAATGAATCGGAATCTTTCATTTAATACTTAAGTTTGATTTAAAAGCAGTAATTACAAGCAACTGAAACTGGTTTAACAATAGAGAGAAGGAGAGTTTTAAAATACAGTAGAGAGAGAGAGGTGATTGAAGTCTGGATTGCGGAAGGAGACGAGATTGACGGGAAGATTTTGGGTCACGTTAATTGACGGCGTTTGATTTATTTTTTTTCTTTTCTTTTCAAATTAGGTATAAGACACACAGGAAGCAGTGATGGGATTTTTCGTTTTTTATTTTTATTTGTTTTTGTCTTATATGATTGTGGGGCGGCTGACGGTGGGTTGTGTGGAAACAAGTGGATGCCACGTAGGTTTGGGTTGATGACGTTTTCAAATTAGGTTAGTTTAGCTAGGTGCTTGGCTCCCTTCCATCATGCTTGTAAGCTCTTAATTAAATTCAATTTTAAGATCATGTTTAAAATAATTTTAAGGTTCCACAATTACATTTTATTTAAAATTTAATATTTTGAATAATAAAAAAATAAATTAAGGGTTAATTTTTAATTTTAAAAAATCAATATTAAAACTAGTTTTTTAGATACCTTCAAAAAAATAAAATAAAGATGATGGAGGTAATATAAGAATTAAAATAAATTGAATTTTATCCTTTTTATTATTATTATTATTGTTGTTGTTGTTATTATTGTTGTTGTAATATTGTTATTTATAATTTATATAATTAATTTTCTTATGGTTCGAACCGGTCTTGCTGGGCTATTTATTACTTCGATACTCCTGCACTTGGGAAAAGACATCAATCTTGTGGTCATGTCATTATACAATATAAATCTAGATTAACCATTTAACAAGTAAATTATCAAGAGTAAATAAGATAACAAATACAAAACATATTAGTATTAAATTTTAAAGTCCATGTTAAGTTTACACTATACTTATTCTTACACTATTATTGTAACTTTTTCACCTTATTTTTTATTTTATATAATAAACTTAGCTAAACATAATGAAAGATAGAAACATAAATAAACAAGATAAGAATATAAATAAGATAAAAGTTAACTAAGTAAAGAAAAAAGAAAATTAGAAGCATAAATAAGATATTAATATAAGTAAAATTTAAGTATTACAATAAAGAGATAGTAAGAGCATGATCTTAATCCAAAAATCAAGATGGGTAAATAAATGACGGAAACCAAGATGTCTAAATGCATGACAAATACCTCATTTTATAGGCCAAAATTTAAAATTATTGATTTGATGAATAATTGTTGAGTAGGTGACCACATCTTGACTTGGTGACAATCATTATCTTCTTGTCTGAATAAAACATCATTGATAACATTAGAACTTGAACCAGACTTTCACATGAAAGTTCTAGAAAATTATCTCATCTTTTCAGGAAGAAAAGTAAGTTCTAGAAAATTATCTCATCTTTTTAGGAAGAAAAGATTAAGGTCATTTGAACTTATAGAACTCAAGATTGAGGTCTTTGAAGGTCATTTGGACTTATAGAACTCAAGATTGAGGTCTTTGGACTTCTAAAACTCGAGATATGGACTAAACACTAAATAATATCTAGGTTGTAGGACAGATTTGGAATCCTATATTGTTACTAAGACTTGGACTTCCAAACAGCAGAATTGAGTCTTGCATTCCTATGAAAGTTTTAAGTCTATGTTTTAGCTTTCCATCCATATAAAGTAGACTTAAATATGAGATCTACAGCTCCAGATATGAACCAATTACCGAATAATGTTCTAGTTTGGATTGCACCAACATCTCTTTTCTAAGTTTGACCCTCCTTTTATCCTTTTAGTTTCAATACTTCAACCCATCAATTAATCCTTTTATTTATGTGATAGGCCTGTATTTAGAATAAATATTTACTATAAATTAAAGGTAACTTATGGTATCAGACTTATTATTATAAAACATGCTTTAGTTAAGAAGTTATTGATACTTCAATTGCAAAATAATGCTATAAAACCTTGATAAAAACACACTTTTAAGTATTAATCAACCACCACCACCACCACCATTATCATCATCATCATCATTATTATTTATAATTTATACAGTTAACCTCCTTGTGGTTCAACCTCGGTTTTGTCAGGTTATTTATTACTTCGACACTCTTACATTTTAGTATTTATTACTTCGACACTCTTATATTTTAGAGAAGACATCCATTTTTTAGTCGTTTCAAATATCAAGATATTTGTTTGAGACTATAATAACTTTATAGAAAGCAAACTAAAATAAATTATGAAGATAAATTCAAAATCAAGCAAATATTAAGAGATGAAATTAAGTGTATAAAGATAAAAATAAAAAGAAAACAAAAAAAGGAAAAATAAGATGAAGAAGACACTTCTTTAACTGTTCATACAAAGGACTTAGTTAATTGTTTGGTTATTAAAGTTAGCTATGTGGACTTTATTAATTGTTTGATTAGTAAAAT